AATAGCCACCCCACCAGTGAGTTTAAGTTCTTGTCCCAGTTACTAGCTGACAGAGCAGTGGGGTGCTACACTTATTTTACCGTTTGTTTACAGTCACCTGCTTTAGGAGAGTCACACTCAAAAAGTTGAAGTTGTTTAGTTCATTTCAAGCGTACCAAATTGTACATTTGAGGTCACGATAGCTCTACTGCATGCTCTTTAGATGTAGAAAGGAGAGGCTTTACAGTCAGTCGGTAGCTTAAAAGGTTTTAAATAATGCATATGGCATTTTAGGCTAAGGAACCCTGGTGGCATTCCCTTTCCACACAGATCAGATTGAGGTCAGCGATTTGAACTTGTGATCTTCAATTTCTCTGGTCTGTTTGTACCAGTGGCTTCAAATTTCCTTGACAAAGACTATTGTGCAGAGTAACAGTGAATGCTATGGGAGAATACATGTTTACATCCTATTTATTTTTGGCACTCTCTTAACACTCTCAAATCTGATAATGTGGGGGGATGTGATTCTTCACCCTGTAACTGCTTGTAAATCTGGACAAATAGCCCACTGCTCCACAGTAATCACCTTCTTTAGCAGCTCGTTTGTCTGTGACCAGCCAGCATCATGTTACTCTGACCTCAGGTAACTGAGGTGTCTCATCACCCTTAGAGGATTTGTGCTATTGGCTAAAAACCCTTTATCATTGTTTCGCTCAAAGTAAATTAAGAAATGAATACAAGCAGACATCTTTTCCTTCATGTCTCTGATGATTTACTGTAATTTAATAATTTAATTGAATGAATGGATTTCTTTTTTTCTCTCTGGGCAAGGTATTTCTCATTACATTTAATGTTTCCTCTCAGCTTTAAATCTTCAGTGTGAATGGTTCAACTTTATTGATGTCAAGTCCAGCTTGTTTAAAGACAAAGGTCCAAGAGCCCATTGAGATGCTCCACAGCAAACAACTATAAAGTGAATGCCTCAGGCAGTATGCAAATAGGGAAGAGGGGAAAGAGGACTAATCATAATGGAAGCCCCAAAACAGTATGTACCATAGACAAACCAAGAAGTGTTTAATCCCTACGAGTCTTGCCTCCGGCCTGTGGTGTTTGAAGGCTATCTATTTCCTGCCCTAACCTCATGTTGATGGCTTGATTACACAGCTTTAAATCAAGCTCTGAACACTGTGTCATGTTTTGCCAAAGAATAAATGATATTAAATTAGACTATATTGGAACATCCCAATACCACATGTAAACAAAGCAAAACAAAACAATAAGGCTTACCAATTAATGTAATTTGTACAGCTGTTTGAGGAAACGCACCTTCTGTATTTTGATGTGCCATTTAGCACTGTAACGCCAATTAAAATATCAGTAGGACCCCATAAATGTCAGTGGCTCTGTGAAATATTCTTAAAGGTAATAGCATCTTATGATTTCAAAGAACTACATATCTTTCAACTCTCTCTCTTAGATATTTGGGGACTAGACTATTAAGAGCTTTACAACACAACACAATTTAAAAATCTATTATAAAAGCAACAGGTAACCAGTGCAGCAAAGCCAAGACGGGATATATTGTCATGCTTGTGTCTGCTGGTGTGGAGCCGAGCAGCTGCGTTTTGTACCAACTGCAGGCGGTGCCGGAGTGAGTGGTCCATGCCAAAATAAAGTGAATTA